AACCATATCCAATAAAGTCCGGTTCCTCCTCTCTGACACACCATTTAATAATGGTGTAGCAGGAGGAGCTAGTTGTGATACTTTCCCATTTCCTTTAAGTAGTCCTTGAATTCTTCAAAGAGATATTCATCTCCTCGATCTGATCGAATGGTGTTAATGTGTCTCCCCAACTATTTCTCAACCTCTTGCCTGAACTCTTTGAACTTTTTAATGGATTCAGACTTGTGAAATAAACATGCTGGTTACGTGTTCTAACCTTCATGGGATCACATACATCAATATGTATAAGGTCATGTGTGTTTGTTAATCTTTCAGGCTTACCGTTAAATGGCTGTTTCGTTCTCTTACCCTGAAGGCAAGGTCCACAGGTTGGAAGATCTTCTACAGTTTGAAAATCCAAAGGACCATCATTTACCAACCTTGTGATATGATCTATGTTAATGTGGCCAAGTCGGTAATGCCACAGGCACGTGGGGTTAACTGTATCACGAGTTCTTTTCTTGGGGTTATTTTCTGATGTAGTTTTGGTTATATTCGTTTCTAGAAAAGGATGGAGAACATAGAGACCATTCTCAAGTTCTCCATATACGAGGAATTTGTTATTCGTTTTGATAGTAATCACATTACTAAAAAGAACAGAATAACCATCCACACACAGTTATGAAACAGAAATCAAATTTCTTCTCAATTTGGGTACATAAAGACAATGTTTTAATGTAATTATTCCTTCTATGAAATAAAATTCTATGATTCCTATGGCTGTAGCTGCAACACTTGCAGAAGTGCCCAAGTAAAGAATCGCTTCTCCGTCACTCAGTCTTCTGCTTGTCCTGAACCCCTACAATGTATTGCATGCATGAGTAGAAGCCCCGAAGTCAATACACCAGGAAGCAAAAGTGACCAACATATTGGTCTCTATGACAAAGGATTCGAAATTACCTTGTTTCTTGGTCTCCAGGTACTGAGGACAGTTCATCGTCCAGTGGCTGGTCTACTTGCTGAACTGATAGGTATCTGATGCCTTGTCCTTCTTCTGCCTTTTAGGCTTGCTAGTTTTCTTCTGAGGTTTCTTCTTTGTCTTCCTCTTCTTCTTGCCCGATTTTCCACCTTCAACAAGCATGGCTATGGGCTCATGTTTCTTTATCAAATCTTCAGCCCTCTGCAACATATTGCTGAGTTCCTGAAGGCTAACATTTAGCTTGTTCATATTGTAATTCATTATGAACTGATTGAATGAAGGAGGCAAAGAGTTCAAGATGACATCTACTTTGGTGACATCATCTAGCCCAGATCCAAGAGCCTCCAGTTCATTGATATATCCCATCATTTTAAGATAATTGTCATGAATTAGCTGGTTCTTGGACATTTGTGCAGTCATAAACTGCTTTAGGACCTTCTGATGAGTAGAATGATTATGCTCTTCATACATTGTCCTTCGACTATCCAAGATATCCTTGGACACTTCGATCTGATCAAACTGTCGCTGTATCTATTTGTCTAAGGAGGCTATGATGTAGCACTGGGCAAGAGAGTTTTTTACTTCCCATTCTTAATATTCTCTCCTGTGGACCTTAGAAGTCCTATCACCCGAACAATCCGGAGCAGGGTTCTTAGCAACTTTGTCTAATTTCTCTAACATCTGAACCAGTATAAGGTTACGAAACCGGTCAACATAATTTGGGCCCTTAAGCTTATTATCGTGTAACAGTTTGGCGAATTGTCTCTTTGCCATTTTTGATAAAATGCAAAGCAAATATTAGTCCACAACCTGATTTGATTCATGTTATCTACATAGATATGACTTTTAATCTATGTTCCATTTCCATTTGTTCATCTCTGAGATTTCCCTCCTATCACAGTGATGGAGACTACGAAATGTCTCTGGAATTGTGGGAAACTACATACAGTGCATGGAGCCAACTGTTTCAGCTGCATAACCCCACCACGTTCTATGAAGGATCATATCCACTCATCTTATGAGCTTTCCCTTTAGCCTTTGTCAGACAAGGTTTATTGCCATTTTAGGTTAAACCTTTCTGTCAGTAAGTGCTTACCCATCATATTCGTAAATGCTAAGGTACCATGAGAGAGTCTTCCATTTTAGGATAGGCCCCTCCCACATCGGTCTATGCTGCCCCTGTCATCTTATGAAACAATGCAACAGATCCTGTAACAAATGGATAGCCCAATTTTATGGTGCATCTCCTTATTACTGAAGGACCCATCTTCATGCTAATGATGAAAGGCCTTTAGAGATTTCATCATATGAATCTCACTATCACATGCACTTATGTTTTAGTGGAGGGAATGAAATATTATGCCCTAGTTTTATTTAGGTTAAACCAATGTGGCTCCCACCGGCTTTCTCAAAGCCAAATTTAAGTAGGCCCTAAACAGTTAGAGTTCCACATGATTCCTCTTGGGGAGGAAGCTGATGTGGGGCCCATCAAATGGGGAGATCATCCAATGATCTTATGGACACCATGGCGATGATGTGCATTTAGCCATGGTGTGCGAAAGAGCCACTATCGAATTAACATGGGCTAGGTACTTATGGCCCATGTACGTAGTACATCACACATCCATACATCACATGCATGAAACAAATTGATCCAATCAATTAAAATATCTATAAAACCCTTAATTAATTAGATTAAATCAGTATCAGCCCAATAGAGCCCATAATTGTTTCATATAACATTATCTAGGTACATGGGCTATACTGCAAAAGTAGTTCAGCCCATGCAGCTAAATTAGGGCTGATTCCGTTTTATCATATTAAAACCGAGTTTTTACAGAGGTGGACCGAATTAAAACCTGAAGTGGGCCATCAACCCTCTGGCCTAAATCGAATTTGGGTCAGAAAAACCAATCCTATCAAACCAAGAATTCAGTCCAACCAGTTTGGACCAAATTTGGTACAAATTGGCCCAAGTTTTGGTGCCCAGTTCAAGATTTAATTCAAGAATAATGATTTGAAAAATAAATTAAATCTAGATAATCAAATTATCAAGAAAATGAAATCATAGGGCTGCATTGTGATTTTTTTGGACATCCTGCAAACCTGCAAAGAACAATTAATTGCAGATTGTAGAATCGATATATGCAAATCGCATATCGCAGAACTTCTTTCTACGAAATCTTCTTCTCCTTTGTTGCACACTCCAACAATCTCTAGATGGAAATAAAATAGAAGAACCTAATTTTTCTATTATTACATCACATTGAATTCCTATACAATTTGTTTAAAAATAAATAAAATTATTTACAGACCAGATTAAACAGGAAAGAAAGAGCAGGGTGGGCCAATCTTGGCACCAAAAAGATTCGATCTCCATCATATGTGCAGCCCAAATATTCAAGAAACATTCACAGAATAATTCTATAAATATAACCGAATAATAAAGATTAATTTTCTTGATCATCCGCCCATGATCTGGGAACCAATTCCTAGAAAAAAATGCTAACTGCGCAAGTCGTGTAGAATGCCTTCTGCTCATTTGCGCATATCCATATCTGATCTAATTTGGTTCAAGTTGAACTAGCTCTGATACCACTGAAGTGATGGGAGATCCATCATATGGATGGCTGAACCCTGCAGGAAGGGTGGGTGAAATTTCAAAAATTTCTTTACTCCCATCCGAGAATCGTATTCCCAATTTAGAAAACTGCATTTTCAAGGTTCGTTCTTGTAATCAAACCGGACCAAATCTGAAACCAAGATTAAGGAGGGATATACATGATATGGAATCCACACAAAATCTCCTCCCAACATAGGTGTTCATGCCCAAAGAGTGTACCAAATCCTCCCTCTACTGAAGATGGCACAGCTTAGGATGAGGTAGGATCAACAGGTAGTTCTTCACCAGGAATTTGTGATTCTTCAGCAAGAATCAAATGGGGTAGTGAGCACAGCTTGAAAATTATTTCTTTTAGCAAGAAAGAATATCAAGATCAAATCTTGACCAGATCCAAGAATTGGAGATCAAACAGGGTAGGGCGGCAAGAGCAGGGAGAAAAAGAACTGAAGGCAAAAGCCAGTCAAACTGAGTTGTCTTCTGTAATGTCTGTGTGTCTTTCAGATCTGCCCTGCTCTCTATTTATAACCTTAAAGTGGCAACCTCCTAATCTAATTAGGAGTCTCTTAATCCAAATCTTTATTGGGACCTGAACTCTTTAAGTGATAAGGATAATCCCTTATCTTATTTGTGGTTCAAGATCAGCTTATTCTTAATCAAATTAGGAGTTCCTTGATCCAAATATTTATTTGGATATAAACTCTTTAAGTGGATAAGAGTTATCCTCTTATCCTTATCTGTTGATCCAAACCCAGATCCTCCCCTATTTAATTAACCCAACTAACCTAGTTAGAAATGGGCTTTAGGCCCACTAAGCTTTTAAGCTCATTGAAATTTTGGTCTATCTCCAAGGTCTAGGGCAATAATGGAATTTTTGTCCAATTTAGGGTTTCAAAAAACCCACATTACATGTACCTCAGGTCTCACCCTGGCAGCTGAGACAAGCAACCCCAACCAACTTGGCACTACATCAGTGTCAGCCTTGGTAGGAAAAATCTTCGTAGACCTATCCAACGTCTGTGATGATTCTAAACTAACACGAGTCTCATATGTGTCCAGTTTAAGGGTATTACACATAAACACACCACTATAACATGAATCAAATATGTACTTTATTCATTTACAATAAATGTCATAATGTACATCATGATGATTGGAGCTAAAGGCATACACTATCTAATAGAAACTACATATATGCACCAACTGAAAGGTTTTGAAGATAGCAACTATCATCATCATGTTTGCAAGCTTCACAAGTTTCTCTGCGGTCTCAAGCGGGCCCCTTGGGCTTAGTTCTCTCATTCGAGCAATCTTGTCTTTGGTCTTGGTTTTCGCAGTTCACAGTGTGACTCCTCCTTGTTTATCTATACTAAGGATCAGATCTCCATTTATTTACTTGTCTATGTTGATGATATTGTTGTTATGGCGTCCTCTCCCTCTCATGTCTCTTGTCTCATTAGTGACTTGTCTCAGTCTTTTTCTCTAAAAGGTCTAGGGTCTCTACATTATTTTCTTGGTGTTGAAGCTAATGAAGATGCCATAGGGCTATTTCTCTATCAGGACAAATATATTTTGGACCTCTTGTTGAAAACCAATCTTGCTGCCGCTAAACCTGTTTCTAGTCCCATGGCCACCACCTCTCAACCTTCTAAATTTCAAGGTGTTCCTTGGTCTGACCCCACTCAGTATCGCAGTATTGTGGGGGCACTTCAATATGTCACTCTCATACGTCCAGATGTGGCTTTTGATATCAACAAAGCCTGCAAATTTTCACATGCTCCAACTGAGGAACATTGGGCAATTGTTAAAATAATTTTGAGGTGTCTCATAGGAATTGTTAATTACGGATTGTACTTCTCTATACAATCCTCGGGGTTGTTGGTTGCCTTCTTTGATGTTGATTGGGCCGTCTATCCAGATGATCACTATTCTATTGGGGGTTATGGAATTTTTCTTGGTTCTCAGTTGGTCTCACGGAGTGCTAAGAAGCATCTTACTATTGCATGTTCTAGTATGGAGGCTGAGTTTTGGGCCATGGCTAATTCTACTATAGAGCTAATGTGGCTTCAGTCACTTCTCTTCGATCAGGGTGTTGTTGGAGCTACATATCTTGTAGCTCATCCCATCTTTTATGCCCATACCAAACACAGTGAAGTTGATTTTCATTTTCTATGGGATATCATCTTAAAAAAAAAATCTTTGGTGGTTCGGTTTCTTCCCACTCAAGATCAAATTTTTGATGTTTTCATAAAACCTCTCTCTTCTCAACGGTTTGAGTGGCTTTGGTCCAAGCTTCATGTGCTTCCAGTCCATTTTCAATTGAGGAGGTGTATTGAGGAATCAACCAACTCCAACTCTCCCAATAAAGTTAGAATGGTTACTATAGAGAGAACTCCTACTAAGGATAAAGTAGTTACTATAGAGAGACCAACTAGATTAAAGAGGAAACTTCCTCCTTCAGAAGTTACTCAGCTGGGCTATTGCCTTGTTTACATGTTTCTATCTTTGTATTTATCTTCCAAATTTATTTTTCATTGTTTTGCATATAACACCTTTGTACACTTGAATCAATGAGAGAATTTTTGACCCATTCTTTTCAAAATTCTGCCTTTTTCTTGTCTCTAAGCTTTAATGTGGAAGAACACGATAAAATTGAAGGGAAAGCTCCAAAACCATGTTTGATGGAAAGTAGGCACTAGTGAAGGGATAAAGACCGTAGATGATCCATGGGTCCCTTGGCTATAAGAAAACAAACCTACCTTAAGGTCAACAACTACACAATCCTTAAAGCTGAAAGTCATTGACCTTATTAAGCCAGAGGGGGTATGGAACGTGAATCACCTCAATTTGTTTTTCACTTCAAAAAGTGTCGAACTGATCCTATCCTACCTTTACCCCATACACCATGTAGTTGAAGGGATTAGAGATCAATCATATGGATGGCCGAACCCTACTGGATGGTTGGGCGAAATTTCAAATTTTTCTCTCCCCTCATCACATTCTCTGTTTTAGAAAATCTGCATTTTCAAGGATCAATCTTGAACCATAAACCAAACTAAATCTGAAACTAGAAGTAGGAGAGGGATATACCTGATACGGAGAAATAGTATCTCCCAATGGAGGTGTTCACGCCCAAGGAAGGAACCAAAAATTGCTCCCAGTGAAGATGTCGCAGTGTAGGATGGAGCAGAGTCGGCAATGTTCGTCCAATGAACTGAATCCTTCACAAGAATTCGCTGGAGGCTATGAGCACAACTTCAGATCAGCCTTTCCCCAAAGGCTGATATCAAGATCCAATCTTGATTGTTCATGCTTGAAAGAGGAGATCGAACTGGCAGTAATGGTGGCAGTAGGAAGGAGGCGGCAAGGAGAAAATAGCTTAGTCTCACTGGGTGCTATGATCTCTCTCTGATTTGAATGTGATGATCTTCTAAAGCTACCACCCCCTTCTCCTTTTATAACCTTAAAGGGATCAACTCCTACTCCCATTAGGAGTTGCTGATCCAAATCATATTTGGACCTGAATTTCCTGTAAGTGATAAGGATAGACCCTTATCTTATCTGCATATTAGATCAACCCTCTCCTAATCTGATTAGGAGGTTTCCAGATCTGAATCTGTATTCAGATTCGACCCTATCCTATCTGCTAATCTAATATCAGATTCGCCCCCTCTTTAACTGATCAAATCAGCCCATTTCGAAATGGGCTTTAGGCCCAATAAGAGTATGTGCTCACTTAGCCTTCCAAATTGCTGCCCGGTTGGACTTCCTTGTATGGCGTGAGACCCAAGCATTGATCTACACATTAGCCACAACAGTTTGGCCCAGCCTTTGTTATTAGGCCTGGCCGAATTCACTAGAAATCCCAGTGAACCCCCGTAACATATATATACTTTTATATCCGTATATAAAATATATTTTGTAAAACAAATCTCAGCGATTGAAATTGGCTGCCAGCAGTCTTGGTTTCCATCATAGAGAGTGCATCCCCGATCATTACCTTTGTCTGACAAAGGGGCTGATCCTGTCACTATGATCA